AAAGAAAGAAATCTGGTTTGGCGCCGTGTCACGCTAACCACCGCACCGCGCACACACTCTGCTCCGGTCCAGAGACACGATAGCACGGAGCGGATCACATGCGCAGACCACAAAATGTATCGGAGCTATTTGAATTCTACACAGCATGCTATATTTTATAGCAATATGGATGAGATTGTGGCTGGCATACCCTGCGGCTTTACGGAGCTCAACGGCTCTGAACGGCTCTAGCCCAAGCTGTGATATAAACCAACGCTATTGGCTATTTTAAAAAGGGGCGGGGCTGCTTGATATGTCCCGCCCCGTCTTCCTGTTTCAGTTCAAACTATGTCAACACAGAGTAACGCTGCGTGTTTCTAAGCATTTCAGGAGACCTTTAAACACACAGAACATACTGTCAATCAATGACATAAATCACACATACTTACATTTACAGTCGTAACCCTTTCTATTAACGCTCGGTGTGCATTTGCATTTCTTGTGTCCGGGCTTGTCATAGCAAATAGACAAAAGCTTTTTATCTGGAAAAACAAACAAACAAACAAACAAACAAAAAAAAAACACACAAATGTTTAGAGTCTGTGATAATTTAATGCAGTATAATGTGACTTGGAAAATTACGCGATGCCAAAAAAAAATCTATGTATAACGGTCATTAATACATAGATATAATTAAAATATTATTTTAATAATTATATATTCTATTTATATAATAAATATATATTACAATTATTTAATAATAAAATTAATGATATAATGAAATCTGTAAATAATTATATATAATTTATAATGAGATTCAATTTAATAATATAATTATTATATGATTAAATTTAACCCAAATATAAATTATATAGAAACAATTATATATCACTATAGATAAAATAATTCAATATTATTTATTTATTACAATTACGTATTTAAAATAGTATTAATTAATTACAAATGATAACAATTATCACTAAATAAAATTATAAATATAATTAATGCAAAATGTAACATCTCATTTTAATCTTTTTTTTTTCCAGTGATTTTTGATTGATTAACAACATATTATAGTCAGGTTTATGACATTCTCAGAGGCACAAAGTCACTTTCACAGACTTTTTCATTAACTGTTCCCTCCTGGTGGAATGACCTGCCCAACTCAATCCGAGCAGCTGAGTCCTTAACCATCTTCAAGAAACCACTAAAAACACATCCGTTCCACCTTTATTTGACTTTATTTATTTGAGCGTCTGCACGCACACACACACACACACACACTCACACAGACAGAGGCGTGTGCAGTCAGCGGTGATGTATGTACACGTTCTGTGTGTCTCTGTAAGTATGAGAGGAATGTGCTTTGACATGCATCTGATTTTACAGACAAGTTCATCCTTGCAGAAACACACACACACACACACACACACACACAAACAGTGCTTTACAACTGTAGGACAGGAAGAGCTAAATAAACTTATCACTGAATCTACAACAACATGTTTATTAGATCCTGTACCCACTAAATTACTGAAAGAGTTGTTACCTGTAGCAGAAGAACCGCTTCTCAATATTATTAACTGGTCGTTGTCTTTAGGTCACGTCCCAAAACCATTCAAGCTGGCGGTTATGAAGCCTCTTATTAAGAAACCACAACTAGATCCTAGTGAACTGGCAAATTACAGACCCATCTCAAATCTTCCGTCTATGTCTAAAATTTTAGAAAAAGTTGTGGCTGCGCAATTGTGCTCCTTCCTGCAAAAAATGATCTCTATGAAGAATTTCAGTCAGGTTTCAGGCCCCACCATAGCACAGAAACTGCACTTGTTAAAATTACAAATGAATTGCTTCTTGCGTCAGACCAAGGCTGCATCTCATTGCTAGTTTTACTTGATCTTAGTGCTGCGTTCGACACTATAGATCATGACATACTCATAGATCGATTACAAAACTATACAGGTATTCAAGGGCAACACACACACACACACACACACACGCGCACACACACACACACGCACACGCACACGCACACACGCACACACACACACACTCTTCATGATGTCACCATTCACACTTTCACATGTGTTTGTATTCTTAGGTGAGAATCGTACTGTGAGTTTTATTGGGGAAAGTGTGTGTTCATGTGTGTTATTGTGTGCTACCTTGGTTGCAGGTCTTTCCGGTGAATCCTGGATGACAATGACACTGATCCGGTCCAACACACTCGCCGTGTTTACAGCCCGACTCACACACAGCTACACAAACCAGACACAACACAAGAGCATGAGTGTGTGTGTGTGTGTGAGTGTGTGAGTGTGTGTGTGTGTGTGTGTTCAACAATACATACTGCTCATACTGTTTCTGCAGTATACATACTGTGTACAGTGAGTGAGTTTTCTGTACGCTCGAAAAAATAAAACCTATTACTTTTGCCAGTTATTTTCTTAAACTAATAAAATGACAAAAGCACATAATAAAATTAATAAAAATTAAATTAAAATATAAAAATAAAAGCTAGTTCAAATTTTAATGCAAACTATAATAGTATACGTGAAATTTGGAATATATATAATAGTATATAATAGAAATATGTTTAAGATGAAGCACCAAAATTACTAACTGGAAAAATGAACTAAAACCTGAACTGAAATAACAAATTAAACCTAAATAGTAATATTTAAAAATAATAATAATATTAAAAATAAAAATGAATGAAAATGACAAAAGCACATGATAAAATCACTAAATATTAAACTAAAATTAAATGAAAACTGGAAATATAAACATAAAAGCTAATTCAAATATTAATACGAATCTAAGTGAAATTTAAAATACATAATAGTATATAACTGAAATATCAATTCTATAATAGTACAATATTATATAACTGAAATATGTTTAAGATAAAGCACCAAAATTACTAACTGGAAATAAATAAAAACTAAAACTAATATAAGAATAAATTAATAAAATAAATAATGACAAAAGAGCATGATAAAAATAAACTAAAATTAAAATGAAAATTTGAAATATAATTTAATATAATATATATAATATTATATTAATATAATAATATAATATAAAAAATATTAATAGAAATGAATAAAAATGACAAAAGCACATGATAAAAATACTAAAAATTAAACTAAAATTAAAGTGAAGATTAAACACATAAAAAAAGCTATTTCAAAGTATCAATAAAAAACTAGTATATATAACAATCTATAAGTAAAATATGTTTATGATGAAGAAAAAACTAAAACTGAACTAAAAGTAAAATTTAGACAACCGCATGCAACTGCATGAAATACTGCATCCCAATGCAATGAAAGCAGTGCTTAAAGCAGCTCTATGTAACTTTTGGCGCTCTAGCGGTTAATAAACAGAACTGCACACATCCTGCGAAAGAACATTCTAACCGGATCTACTTCTCTAAGTTTATGTCTCTGGCGATTCACGCAGGTATGTGTTACTCCGCAGCGGTGACGACCCGACCAGGCTACAATAGTCCAAATATAAATACTTATTATAAGTGTACCGTAGTGATTCGGAATAAGACAAAAACGCGGTTTGGAAGATGAATTCATGATGTACTCGCTCATTATATACATTTTGCAAATTTTGAACACAGAAAAAGTTACATAGTGCTGCTTTAACTTTCCATTCCTGTCAAAAGTTCAGCCTGATTACACCAGTTTGATTAAAACATTGTTGCGTACTGTTATTCTTTCTTTTTCTTTTCTACATAGGCAGTATATTAGTGTAGACAGATTCACAGAAAGCAGTGCATCATGGACGACATTATTTTAAAACAATTAAATAAGTAAGACTAATAAATAAATAATAATGTGGTAAAACCTGGAACAGAAGATTTATGTACAGTATGTGTGTGTGTGTAAATTTTGTACAGTATTTATGTACAGTATATAATATAGTAGCTATATCACGTGCCATCGCGCGATTAAAACCCACTATTTATGCCGTTCTAAAAAAGTTACCATGGTAACCGCAATTTTTTACGATCACAATGGTGCTAATGGAAAATGTATCACATATTTACAATAACATATGCACAACGGAAAATTTAGCGGAAATACGGTTACCATGGCAATTAGCGATATTAGCGATAATTACAAAATTAGCGATTATGGTTTAAATATTTTTATTATTAGAAATTTTAGCAGACAGTCACTTGTAATTACACTTTTTTTTAAATACAAACATATGAAACGTACATTTTAACAGATAAACATTAAAAAAAGAAAATGAAAAACAAACAATAGTCATGAAAATAATAAATGAACAAAAAAAATGTAAATAAATTTCCCCCCACCCAAAAACTTAACCCATAAGTGCTATCCAGTGGTAAAAGTAGGTACTGAAGGTAATAACCGTCATTCAGGCGTCGGCGGGGGGGAAAAAAAGGGCGCGAGAGGAGTTGACACGCATTACCCTCAGCGCTGCGCGAGACCCCGTATGTCAGCCCCCGCGCGCCTCCCGCGCTTCCACAATCATTTCCCGCCAATGATCAGGAGGTGTCCGCAAAGGCGCTTCCTCACCTCACCCCCCCGTCAGCCACACGCAGCGCGACACACACACACACACACACCGGGAGGAGCCGTCTACCCTTCCGTCACCCATACCCGCCCCTGAGGACGGTGCGTCGTTGGCGGCGTCAATATTATTTATTATTCCCGTTAGTCTCGGTATTTAGCGCCGCAGCTGCTCAAGGTGATCGTTAAAACGGACGCGTCTCGTTGTTTTGTGGCGCGTGTTTTTTCTTGTAACGGGGATTATTGAGGCGGCATCAGCGCGCGGTGATGCTCTCCGTTAAAGGATCGTGATCTCTTTCACGTAAACACACACATACACACATTTTGACACGGTAACTTTCTCCTCCACTGCTTATTATCGCCATTTCTGTTGTTCCTCTAATTAAAACAATAACACATTTAAAGGCGGACCTGATGGTGTTAGATATAATGCTCTGTATTGTCCTAAATTATGTCATGCATATGCAAAAAGATATGTACATAAATGCATAAAACCTTTTGCTATTTATCTGAACTATGCTTTTTTTTATTGTTTTAATCTAAATGTAACTGAATCTCGTGTATTTTCAGGGCTTTTGTTTTTCATTATTTTATTTTAGGATCTTGTTTTGATTTTTAGATGACATTAAGCTTGTTTAAATTTGGTTCTAAAGTATTCATTAAGCAATTTTGTATACATCCTTTATTATTTATCAAAATTTCTCTTTTCTGTAAATAAATGGAGCAATAAATTCAAGATGCATCATAATTTAAGAGCTGGGAGGAAACAATGAGCATTAAAAATGTACATAAATGCATATAAAAACCTTTGCTGTTTATCTGAACTGTTTTTCTTAAATTTTTAATCTAAATTTGACTGAATCAAATTTCAGTTTTTAAAATTGAATTTCTATTATATTCTGTTTTGGAACCCACTGAGAATGAATTACGAGTCAGAAATTTTCGTCACGCACAGAAACCTTGCACACTGAGTCCGATGCGTATTAATTAATCCATTGCGAAAAAAATTCGCAAAACAATTGAAAATGGAGTCTTCAAGCAGTGAAGATGATTTTGCTGTCCTCGCTCTTCTTAAAAAGAGAAAAAGAAAGAGGAAATATTGGATCCATCATCCAATCCAAGGAGAGTTCCACCTCCTTATCAAGGAGCTGCGGGATTATCCCGGGAGATTCAAAGTTTACTTCAGGATGTCAGTGGCTCAGTTTGATGCTTTGCTAGCGATACTGGAGCCACATATTGAAAAAAAAAAATTCCGTTAACTTAGTGTGCAAGGACCATAGACTGTATAAAAACATGGACGTAGTGTCCGTGACGTCACCCGTAGGTTGGCTTCACGAGAGAAAGCGTGAGGTTGCCGCTTGGCAAGGACCTATACAGTGCTTTGTGCAGCGAGAAGAAGTGATCATCTTGTCAGACGCCATTCTGGATTTTGGCGTTCGCTTGTATGGTGGCTCTGAATTGTCAAAACACCTCTCAAAATGCTTGCTACGGATGCGAAAAACGCAGAAAATCAAAACCGATCCGAATTTTTTTATGACGAACGAAAGTTTCGGAGGCAGTGTGTAAACGTGATTGACACAACGTGAGATCGTATTTATTTTTTAACGTGCGAAAAATTCGGACGAAAATTTCGGACTCAGTGTGCAAGAGCCTTAAGAGTCAAATAAGATTGCGTAAACTGTAATTTTCTTATTTTCAGGGTTTTTGTTTTTCGTAATTTTAGTTGTTTTGATTCTTAGTGGACTCTTGTTTGATTCGTTTTGGTTCTAAAATACCATTAAGCAATTTTGTATGCATCCTTTAGGATTTGACAAAATATTCTCTATTGTCTGCAAATAAATGAAAGATTTCTGAATTGCGATTCCGCTTAGTTGTAGTTCTCTGTTCACGTCCACCTCCTCTTTCCTCCACAGGACCAGTGCCGTGGATGGTTGGGTGTTAGTGCGTGTTTGTTTTGCTCTGATGGCGAACATGAGCAGTAGTGTGTGCATGGAAACCCCACACACTCATGGCCACACCCATGGCCACACCTACAACTATAACCCCACCCCCGGGCGGGACTTTCCTCTGCAGATCGACTCGTGCGTGAACCCCGTGTTGGACTACAGCGCGCAGATGGAGCGATACCGCTCATTTGCCACCTTCTATAAGAACAGCACAGCCGCTGCGGCCGCTGCTGCCGCCACCCCATTTCCCCAGAACGCCAAAATCACCCGAATCGCCACGCCCCTCTTCCCCTCAGCCCGCCTATCGGCGATGCCACCCTGGCCCTGCGACAACGCCATGCTATGGGGGCGAAAGCCCACCTCGGTTAATGTTAACGGACCTCACACACATCGGACTGGCATGTCGAGGGCGGAGCCGGTGAACATGCACATGTCCGCCAAACACATTCCACAAGACTCCGCCCTCCCGATGGGTGCTGACAACTTCCTGTCGCCGCTAGCTGCGGAGCAATGCCGCGGTCTTCCCGTAACGGGGGCCGAGTGCATGAACCGACTGAAGTGCCCGCCGCCTAGTGGAGCCGGAGAGGCGGACCGAGGCGGGACATTCGGAGGGATGCCCCCGTTGGGGGGTCTGTCGCTGCCACCGGGGGTCATCGTCATGACGACACTTCACTCCGGTGCAGGGTCGTCGGGGGTCACGATGTCAGACAGCGCGTTTCAGATTGCCAACGTGGCGGCGGACTGCCAGCACAGCGGTTCGTCCTGCTCCGGCTCGCCCGCTGCTCTTAACGGAAACGCCAACGGCAGTTGCAGCAGCGCTAGCAGCAATGGTAGCGGAGCGGCCAAGCGCAAGCG